TAATGATCTAAATGATCTGTGGGGTATTTTGAGCTGAAACTTCACAGACACATTCTGGGGACACCAGAGACTTATTGTACATATTGTAAAAAGGGGCATAATATGTCTCCTTTAAGATTTAGTATCCATTCACTGTATCCAAGCTTCATTTACTGAAAAGACCAAAGATTGATTTATTGAATATTTTTATTGGATTCATTTGCCATGTCACATCCCAAAGAGAGTTCTTAGCATTTCTTTTGAAATAGTTGTGCAGATTTATATTACTTTAATTCAGCATGTCTCATTACCTCAATTTCATCTTTAAAGAATGAGAAAACTCAGGAAATATTTAATTCACTTATAATAAGACAATCAAGCCTCTCTAACCCAAAATATATGACATACTAAAGGAAAACACTACTGCGGGTCCTAGCTGTAGAACTCCTGGGTAGTTGAATATTATTCAGGGTTTACATATTTCCCATTTATAGCTTCATACAGATGTGACTGAAGTGTCAGAATGAGCTGAAATTAAACTATCTTCCATGCAGAGCTTTAATACTTTGATTATCCAGGGTTCCCACTTAGTTTTTTTTTCTTAGTGGCGATATTGTCATTATAAATACTTTAATTACAGCATCCAGTTCTTATTTTAGGTTACATATCTGTTTGTTACCTCAGGACTACTACCCTTTCTGTATGAAATGAATCCCACAAAGCAAACTGTAACAGTTGGTCACAGCTGCCAATCCAGACGGTGTCGGATATTTGACAGCTCACTGACTGACTGCGGTTTGGCTTGGGCCCAAAACACAAAAGGTTCTCGTAAAGCAAGACTCCAAACTAAATGAAACAAACCAGACCAATTTCATTATTGCCAGATTCACTCCAAAATCCTCCCTGCAGATTTTTATTAATGACAGTTTATGAACGACCGACATCGAGACCTCATCAAAACGCACATTAACAGCCGACTTCAGCACCATCTGTAGATCATGGCCTGTGGATCTATTACACTCTCATCCTCCCTTAATGGTCTCTTAGGAGTCTCCACAAGAAGAGATTGGGGTGTAATCCATTGTACAGCCACCGAACGGACCACCCAAGCTGAGATTCACAGGGATTTAAATAGTTTCGCTTCTCAAGTGGAAGCCTGTAGAGTCATTAGTGTTGGTTTAGGAATGGTGAATGTGCTGCTGGACGTCAGGGCGGTGGAAGGTGAGATGGTGGTCTGGCTGGAGGGAGAAGAGACTGAGGAGTAACATGTGCTCAGTGATCGCTAATTAGAGCTTAGTTCATATTAATCAACTCAGTGTCGACAGTTCTCAATCAGAAGACGAAATGAAACCTGTTAAGCCAGCTGTACAGAAATAGATCAGAAAGGACTATACACTAGGGGGGAAAAAAATCAAAAATTTTAATAATAATAGTAACAACATACATTTAAAAAATGTTGGGGTCAATTTTTTTTTTTTATCCTTCTATTCAGTAACTGCGTTCACACCAGCAATAATCAACCTCTCCTCCATTTTGCTTGGGAACTAATGTGGTCGGAACCAAAGTTTACAGGACCGCGTTCTCTGGAATCCTTTCAAGCGGTGGACTTCTACGTTCCGACTGGTTGCTGCCGAACCGCGTCATAGCTCATTACCATAAAGTTGACCTGATTTCAACTCTCCTCGACGCCCTCAACGTCCAAGTCGCGCCGCGCCGCTGCTCGACGCCGGCTCACATTGAAAATGAATGACTTCCGGCCACTTTGACGCTCTCGACGGCGGCGGTGTGAACGCACGGTAAGGATGCGTTCAGTTGATTAAAAGTAGTTCTGGGCAATGATTAATCGCGATTAGTCGCATCCAAAATAAAAGTTTTTGTTTATATAATATATGTTTGTGTACTGTGTATATTTATTATGTACATATAAAGACACACATACAGTATATATTTTGAAAATATTTACATGTATTTACTTATATATAAATATATTTAAAATATTAACATAAATATATACATGCATGTGTGTGTATTTATATATACATAATAAATATGCACAGTACACACACTTATATTATGTACACAAAAACGTTTAGTTTGGATGCGATTAATCGCGATTAATCATTGCCCAACACTAATTTAAAGTGACAGTAAAAACATTTATGTTACAAAAAAAAAATCTATTTCAAATAAATGCTGTTCTTTTAAACTTTTTATTCATCAAAGAATCCAGAAAAAAATGTATCATGGTTTCCAAAAAAAATATTAACCAGCACAACAGTTTTTTACATTCAACATTGTTTCTTGAGCAGCAAATCAGCATTTTGGAATAATATCTGAAGGATCATGTGACACTAAAGACTGGAGTAATGATGCTGAAAATTCAGCTTTGCCATCAACAGTTATTTTAAATTGTAATAGTTTTTCAAAATATTACTGTTATTATATTTTTGATCAAATAAACATAGCCTTGGTGAACAAAAGAGACTTCTTTCAAAAACATGAAAAAAAAAAAACTTTTTTGAACGTTAGGCCAAGTTTTTGAACTTTTAGCACAAGTCTATTTTTTCTTACAGCACTCTTTCAGCACTTATTAAAACTAAAGTGATATTTTTTGTGTGTGTTAATAACCATATAAATATTGTCTGTTTTCCTTGATGAGGAAAATGCCTACGGAAGAGGATTAGGGCCAAGCAATAATAAAAAATAAATAAAACCATCTTGAGATTAAAGACATTATGCGAGGTAAAATTTTAAGAAAAATGTCAACATAAAATGTTGAGAATAAAATCATTAAATTTCAAGAATAAAGTCTGTCTATTTCGAGAAAAAAAACTCTTCAAATTTCAAGAAACAAGTCAAAATGTTGACAATAGAGAGAAAAAATCATGTTTTAAGAAAAACTTGTTAATACACGTTATACTTATAAATAGTGACAGATACTATTTGCACCTCAGTATTGTTGTACATTAACAGGATGAAATAATAACAAAGTGCAAATGATTTTATTTATTAAAATGATTGAATAGATGCTGCCTTATTGGGACAACAAAGCCCTCCCAATATCCTACCTTCCCCTAAACCTACCCAATAAATACATCATTATTAAACACTCATTAGGCAATTGATTTTCACTTTTCCAATGTGATATGAGATGAAAAAAGAAAGAAAAGCGAGTTCGACAAAAGGCATATTCGAACTCTGGTCGATCTCATCGTATGCTACATCTAAGAGCATTACTTTCTACGACCTACACCACTGCAGACGCTGTTTAACACTGTCCAACGAGATAAAATGAACATGACACAAGTGTGTTTCTTTTTTTACTTTTTTTCTCGAAACACAATGACTTTATTGTCTGAATTTTTTGAGTTTATTCTCAACATTCTATTTACACTTTTCTTGAAAAACTGTCAGTTTAATCTTGTATAATAATGACTTTAATCTCGAGATGGTTTTATTTTTTTTATTATTGCTTGGCCCTAATCCTCTTCCGTATATCTGTAAGTCAATTTTTGACTTTGATTTTGATTTCATTGGGTCTCTAAAGGTCTGATTCATGGCGTTTCACAATCACTGTAAAGTGTCTGTGACCACATGAAATGGAAAGTCTTCTGCAGCTCCACAAGATTTTCCTCCCACTGTGTCTCCTGCTTATTATTCGCTGATTAAACAATAAAGAGGGAGTCTTGTGGTTACGCTAATGACCTCCTGATAATGACGTTGGCTTGCCTCTGAATGAACTGAGGCTCCCATTATTTCTTTCTTTTCCTTCCTGAGTTCAACTTCACTCACTCCTGTAAGCATGTGAACTTTGTTAGAAAGAACTCAGTAACACAGAACGCTGGGAATTGGAAGGGCTGCTTGGCACAAACACCTCGACTCGAACATGGAAAGAGCTCTGGCCGTGTTTCACGTCACTGCTGTGGTTTGCAGTCTCTCTGGATCCTGGCTGGGGAACGAAGGCTGCTCTCCAGCGCTGATCTCAGACCCGGCAAACACCTGTTCTTCTTGGCCTAAAGTCTGCACACAGCTATCTCTGGATCAGATGCGTCTCTGTATCAATGCAATCTTGGAGGGTGGGCTGCACTGATGGATTCTACTCTGGGCGGGTTTGACCGTCTCTGTCGGAGGGCTACTAAGAAGATCTGCCAACACCTTCAATTATAGGAGAGAGATATTTATCTTCCCTAGATTGTCAGCTTGTTTTGCAACATACTTGTCATTTATAGCTCAAACAAATTGGTGGCAAGGCCAGGAACTCACATACGACAAACTGACCACAAATGTCATGTTGCTGTCGAGACGCAACCAGTGATGATCACAGATTATTTAAAGCAGGCAAATGTTGGGTTAACTTATATGAGTCATGCGATAATATCACTTCTTCACTCCACTAATGATATATAGTGTAAGCCAGGAAATTCTTGGTTACTGGAACAAACACTTGGGTTCAACATTGGGCCTCAAGATTAATAGCTCTTCTAAATAACACACACTAATTTATTTATACTATATGCCAAAGGAAAATTTATGCAAGCGGAGGAATTTCCCAGCAATTTCCTTTTCTCAGTGTGATTAATTACAGTTCACTGAGTTTTCTGCTGATGTGGATCTATCACTCGGATTTCATTTGTGAATTCATTTCAGATTACTTTATTTGTCCCAGTCTGCTTGATCTGTATATCCTGTGCTTGTGTTTTAGACTGAAAGTTTCCAATGAGGAAATAAAGAGGGCTATTCTGACTATGGACGAACAGGAAGATCTGCCCAAGGACATGCTGGAGCAGGTGAGTGTGAACTGACGGGAATGTGAGGGACAGAAGGAAAAGCATTCTGGATTTAAAACAGCTATCATGGTTAACAAACGTGTATGGAAATCTAAAAAAAAAAATGTTGCAACAGGTAATGATGAGAGCAAGTTTAATTTAAGAAAAAAAGTCACATTGTGAGTCACATTGAGCTCCTAAAACTTAAATTCTTCAAACAGTGGTACAAGAATATGTGGTGCTGATCTTTCAAGAGTGACTCTCAACTTATCTGTCGATAAAGCCTATAAAAAATTATTATGTATTTCACAATACTTCAGCATGTTATTAAAGGGATAGTTCACCCAAAAATGAAAATTTGATGTTTATCTGCTTACCCCCAGGGCATCCAAGATGTAGGTGACTTTGTTTCTTCAGTAGAACACAAACGAAGATTTTTAACTCAAACCATTGCAGTCTGTCAGTCTTATAATGGAAGTGAATGGGAATCACGGCTTTGAGAGTAAAAAAAAAACATACACAAATTAAACCCTGCGGCTCGTGACGATACATTGATGTGTAAAGACACGAAACGATTGGTCTGTGCAAGAAACTGAACAGTATTTATATAGTTTTTTACCTCTGATGCACTGCAATGTCTGAACTGTCCTGAGCGTGTCCTGAGCGCGTCCTCGACAGCCGGCGCCTGACGCATCTTCTTAATCTTCCGGCGGATCACAGACTTATAAGTGCATTACCGCCACCTATCTCTCAAATGGACCATTGACACTCTATCTACAATCTCAATTAGGAGTGTCAATCAGTGCATCAGAGGTAAAAAACGATATAAATACTGTTCAGTTTCTTGCACAGACCGATCGTTTCGTGTCTTTACACATCAATGTATCGTCACAAGCCG